CCCCCCCCGAGTCCCAGAGCTGAGAGCTGGAAAACCTCCCCATATCTTTTGCTTTTCAAAACCTATGCCACTTTTTCTGGGTGTTTGCAGGATGCTGTGTGTCGGGGAGTTGTCGGTGTTGAGAGGGGCTTGTCCAAAATGCAGTTGGGATGGTTTCCTCCACGGCTGAGTGTCCTGCTGGGTCTTGCATCTCTATATTGCCCTGTTCCCAGAAGCTGCTCAGAGAGGGCCTTCCCTCTGGATCCTTGCCAGCAATGATTTTTTTTATTGTTAAAGGGACTCTAGTCAAGATGGGCCTGATAAAAATGTGGTCAAGCAGCTGAGTTTGGTTGATAAGGTGCCTCAGTGGGCTGCTCTTTGAGTAGGGGTGCATTGTGCTCAAGTCTTAAAGAGCTCTCTGCAAGCTGTTACTCATATGAAGGCTCTGCTCTAGCATCAGGAGAAGGGGGTTTTGCTTAGTCAAAAGCTTCTGCCCCATCCACCCCGCGGCAGGGGTGTGGGAGCAGTGCTGCTCCTCATCTGGTGAGACCCTGGATGGAGGATCCAGAGCTCAGCGGTGCCATAGGAATGCAAAACAAAAAGATATTTCCTAGGCTAATGTGAGGCTTTTAAAATCTGTTTGTAAAACCAGACTAAAAATACCATGCAGTGTCCTTTCCTGTGGTTCCCTGCGCCCTCCCTCCCCACTGCCTTTCTCCGAGCCCTTCGCTCCCACCGCCCCGGCGTTGCCAGGGCAGCTGCACTCGGCCACTGTTTGGAGCGATAGCGGGGACACGGGTGAAGGATGCTGTGGCAGGGCCAGCTCTGAGGCTCATGCTCATCCCCTGCCTGGTCGTTGTTACGTTTCTTGAATTCTCTTTAGTAGGAATATGCTTACTTTCAAAAATACGAAATATCCTATACCAAATCCCACAACCCGTTCTTATTTAAATATCTTTCAAAACACGGGCTGTGCATGCTTCGCTGGGTTGTGGAAAGCCTTAGGAATTTGTTTCTCTGTGCATGTGCCAAGGATGGTGCTTAACGGTTAATTGCAGAGTGCCAAGGTCTGCTCTGGGCTAAGAGCAAGAAATACTCATTTGGGAATTTTGGCAGAACTTGGTCTTTAGAGGCAGTTTTTCTCCTGGCCATCGCAGTGGCCGCTGTAGTGCAGTTATGTCTTCCTCTCTTTTTGCAAAGAAGTGGTACTCAGTACTCAGAATCTGTGGCATTAGGTAGGGCTGGCTCTTGTGTTTTCAGCATGGATGGGGGCTTTGGGGGTTCTGCCGCAGCACCGGAGCGGTGGGTTTGTTGTGCTGAGATGCTGCCCTTGATCTCAGCGCAGTGAGGATGGATGAGCCTCCTCTCGCCTGCTGCGCTGCCGCACAGGGACCCTTTTGTTTAGTTGACCGTTACGTGGATACCCAGCGAGAAGCTGAACTTCCTCAAACCAAGTGCCAGTGAGATTTGCTTGTGTCTAACACTGGGGCAGGTTTGGGACTGTGCTCCTAACCTTACAGATCATCCCATGGGGATGGAATAAGCAGCAAAACAACGCAGGGGTTGACCGCAGGAGGACTGTTGGACCATGGCTCCCCAGGACATTAGCAGACCTTGGGCACAGGCTGGAGCTGGCCCACCTTCCGAATTCCCCTTGGCATGGCTTGAACCCCCTGGGCATGTGCGGGCTGGGCCGTCCTGATGGAAGCAAGCACAGGGAGGGAGGAAACGCTGGGTCGGGGGCAGATGCCCACTTCTTCGCCTTTTACAACTGCCTGCTTGTTGCTTCAGTTTCTCCATTTGCTTGTTAGATAATGACTTTTTTTTTCAAGAGGCCGAGAACTATGGAAAAAATGTTGCAATCTTTGCTTCGTTTGCGTTGTCAGACATTCCTGGAAAAGATTTATCTCAAGAATTCAGCTCTGAATCCCAGAATTGTGCGTCGGCACGGCTGCGCGCCAGCCCCCAGCTGTGCGATCCCACTGCAGACGCGGGGCACGCGGCCGGACCTGAGCCGCTCAAGTTCTCTTCAGTAGATTCTACCCCAAATTTCCAGACAGTGATATTTTTTTCCACAGAAAATGGCCTTTTCTCTCCACAACTGAATTTTTCATGCAAGCAAGATTCTTTTTTTTTCTGCTACTTTCTACTGCTCTTCCTCTATTTTGGTGGGAATGCCAAATGCAGGGAAGCAGCAGGGGCCTCTGTGGAGATCCCGACATCCTTCTGTAGCTTCAGAAGACATTTTTCCTGTTGTCTTCTTACCATTTCTCTTGTTGCTGCTTTGTGGCTTTTGCATGACTGTCTTGTTCACAATCAGACTGGTGGTTTTTGGCTTTTTTAAAGGGAAGAGAAAACCCAAACCTTGAGAAATGTGCAGGTTGCCAATCCTCATGATTACTAAGTGCTGTGAGCTGTATGATGCTGATGATTTGCTGATGTGATGGCCACAAGCAAAGCCCAGATGGGTTGCCCAGCTCAGAGATCTGCCCTGGACAGCCTGGGTGGGCAGGCATAGATCTCCCATTGATGGGGCCCGCACTGCCACGCACTGGGGGATTGCCCTGCAGTGACCTCCACTCTTCCAGACCCCGTTTGCTCTGGCAGACACAGCCCGAAGCAGCACCGCTGGTGCTTGAAATGCATTTTTTTTTTCACCGAAGTAGGCAGGAAAAATCTTTGTCCCTGGCACGAGGCAGGGGCATCTGTGCCCTGACCCATCAGGTGTTCCCAGGAGGAATTGCACTGCTCCTTCTCCACTTTAAAATGCATAACTGAAGCATATGAACCTGTTGCTTTTGCTCTGTCAGCACCCCCAGAGGGGCTTTGCTGCCCTTATTTTTTCAAACTCTTTCTTCCAGCAATGCTGGACTCGTGTGACATAGAAAAGTTATGGAGAGATGGAGGTGCCATTTCACTTGCTGTAATCCTTTTTGTGGCTGAAAATGATGTTGTGAGGCTGCATTGAACCCTTGCACTGAGGAAGATTATTTCTCAATATCTAATTCCGTTATTGATATTTAGTGTAAAATAATTGAACACAAAGAGATGGGGGCAAATTCCCGTGCAGCCCACTGGAAGAACTGAGACTGCACCAATTGGATCAAGACTGGGACAATTTGTCACTGGTGAGGGGACACTTCCTAGTGCAGGAGAGTGAGATGGAGGTGGTAGTCCAGTCACCCCTGCAAAAATAGAAGTTCAAGGATTTTTATTGAATGTTAAAGTTACCTTCTGCCCTTACGCTGTGCATCTTGCTGAGTCTGCGGGCACAGCGCTGTTGCAGCCTTTTGCTTTATTTCTGCTGGGCAGCTTCAAACTAGCAAGAAATTACCTGTACTTCAGGATGCTGAATCTGATATAATGAAGCCATGCAGTAAATAATGTATAGCTTGTTTGTGTGACAGCGCATCGCCTTTGTACTTGTAGTGTTTTGTACTACAGCTAGCCATCAGCTGGCCCCATTCAGCTTACAGACCACACATACAGATATCCTGATTTGGGGACATTTCTAGTCCTTTAGGGTCTTTGCAGTTTGCAGCAGAGCAGCAAAGAGCCAGTTTTTAACCTCAGCAGTTTGTGGATCTGGGACACCTGCTTCATCATTAATGATGGATAACGTTGGCTTCATTTGGGCAGGGTTGAACCCCTCTC